GTGGTGATCCCCCAACCATAACATTATTTTCACTGCTACTTCATCGCTGTCATTTTGCTACTGTTATGAATTCAATGCCCCCTGTGAAAGGGTCGTTTGACCCCCAAAGGGGTCGCGACCCACAGGTTGAGAACTGCTGCTCTAGACCTTTTTCCTCAGTGCATTCAGTGGTTAGTCAGCAAATGTTTATTGAGCATCTACTCTGGGCCCAGCGGTCTCTCAGAAGCTGGAGAAACAGCTGTGAGCAAAGCATAGAATCCTTGGGGGGCGGTGCATGGAGCAATGAATACACAACAAGGCACGTACACATGAAGCTTTGTATCAAAACAAAACAAGCCCTATGAAGTTGCTTCTTGTTCATCTACTTTAGAAAATCAGAACAGAAGGGGGAAAAAAAGAAAAAAATCCCGTGAGATGTAGATTCATGATCCAAAGAAGTTGCATGGATAATACAGGCACTGCGTCAGAATTTGCATAAGACCCTGCAGTTGTTTAGATACATATGTGCGCCTACCTTATTGGCAAAATAGAATAAAACCTCATGCATATCATGCATTATTTTGTATTCTATACAAATATAGCTGTGTGGTTATATAATTGTATCATACAGATAGTTACACATAATGATATAAACAGGTAATAGTTTGAGTTTCCATAGTCACGATCATATGGAAATGACCGTTTCTCCTGCATCTTTTCTCTTCGGCATACTTAATCTTGAAAGAAAAAAGCAAAGCATAAATGGGAAAAAATCCCCTTATAAATCCATTCGTCAAAATTAATAACTGCTAATCCTTAACGTCATCTATGATTATTTTTTAATTAGAAGTTTGGGAACCCCGTTGGCAACAAGCACTGTTCTTGCCAGGTGTTCCCATGTCAGTCCTTGGAAGTCTACGGTCGGTTTTCGTGGCTGTAGACTTGGCCACCGTGTGGACTGGCTGCGATGGGTTCAACCAGGGTCCGTTCTTTGGATTCTAAAACAAACGAAATGCAGTGCCATCAACTCAATCCTGCCTCGTAGCAGCTCTGAGGACAGAGTAGACCGCTCCTTTGGGCTGCCAAGACAAATCTTTATGGGCGCTTCAGGTTTCTTTCCTGGAGTAGCTGGTGGGTTTGAACTGCTGACTTTGCCGTTAGCAGCCCCACGTGCAACCCACGCTGCCAGCAGGGCTCCCATCGGATGTGGAGCTTCTGTCGGGTTTTCCTCTTTGTGAGAACACCTGCCTGAAAGAAGCCCAATGTTTACACTTATCCTTAGTTACCTGATGGCATGACTTCGCCTTTTTTTGGCTCATTATGTGTTAACGACATCAACACTTTGATTGTAGTTCTCTTTGATGGAATCATAGCAGATTATTAGTTTGTTCCTAGGCGTTTCTCTTTTGTCTAAATGCTTTGCAGTGAGTACATTTTGTTTGCGCGATGGCCATCTCATTTAGAATTGTACCATCAGTGTTTCTCCCACGTCAGGGATAGGCCGTCATTCACTTAACCATTCCCTATCTCAGCCACTTGTCGGGCTCTCTTCCAGTTCTTTGAAGCTCCTTATGCAAAAGACACACTCCATCCTCCAGCGTACGTCCCGGGAAAAGGCCCAGTATGGACCAGCCCAGCCAGAGTGGCTGGTCATCAGTGTTCAGCCCTGGTACTTCCTGCCCCGCGCTTTCCCAGTAACTCAGTGCTGCTCAGTCGTGTCTGACGCAGGGCACCCCTGTGTGCTGCACAGTAAAACCAGACCTTTCAGAAGCAGAGCACCAGGCTTTTCTTCCGCAGCAAACCAGGTGGATTGAACGGCCCACCTTTCCATAAAAAGTCAAGGGCACACACAGGTGCCACCTGGGGACCTTAATAGGATGTCTCAGTACTGACTCCATCCAGCTACACCTGAGGAGAATGGCCTGCCCAGTCCCCCACTGGCCCTCTCCTCCCCCGCCAGGAGGTGCCGGCCAGGAGGTGCAGGCGAGCAGGAAATGGTGAGGTCAGCTCCGCTGGTGGGATGACCCCTGGTCCAGAGCCACAGGGGCGATTTTTAACAGGGCTGTTTATTTTCCAGAACAGACCCTGCAGAGAAAAAGAAAAGAAAGGGAGAAACCAGACCTCTGCTGGAAAACACACACACACACACACACACACACACACACACACACACACACACACACTCTCTCTCGCGCAGATTAAAATAATATTTGGCACTAACATCGCACTTCTAAAATTCTTCAAACGCTTTATAAACACTAGCTAATTAATTAAGCCGCCTAAATCTGGCTGCCGTTGGTGGAGAGAACCAGAGAGGAGCTAAAAAAAAAAAGGTTGGGACGGGTGGGGAGCCGGCCCTCCCGACTGCAGATTTTATTGTCGCTTGCCTGGGTGTGATTACAGGGCTCGGCAGAGCCACAAGAATAGCCCTGCTCCGACATGCCACTCGGCTGACTCCGCGGCTCCCCTCCCGCTCCCACCAACTGCTGACTCACAGCCCGGTGTGGTGTTATTGATAAGGATAATAATAACCGCCAGCTATTACCCTGGGTGTGGGCTGCTCACCCGGGCTCCGTGTCTGCACTCCCTGTCTCCTGGGAAAAAATGCCAGTCTGGGCTCCGTTTCACAAGAGGAGGTGAGAGAGGGGGTTGACACAGGATCCTAAAACAAGAGCAGCCCTCTCTCACTCCCTCCACAGTCACTGGGCGGAGTGTCTTACCTGGGGGCCTCCTGTGTGTGCCTGGAGTCCCTGGGTGGCGCAGGTAGGTAAGCACTCCACCATTCAACTGAAAGGCTGGCAGTTTGAACCCACCTAGAGGTGGCAAAGTGGGTTTATTCGGGCTGCTAAGCCCAAAGTTAGCAGTTCAAACCCACCAGCTGCTTCACAAGAGAAAGATGAGGTTTTCAGCCCCAGAAAAGTGCTGGGTCCTGTAGGGTCACTGTGCATCAGAATTGGCTCAATGGCCGTGAGTTTGAATTTGAGAGGCAGCTCTGAAGACCCAATAAGTCAGCCAACAAACGCATTGCCGTCAAGTCGTTTCTGAGTCAGAGCAACCTGTAGGACGGGAATGAGCCAGCCCTGTGGGTTTCCAAGACCGTAACTCTTGACGGAAGTACAAAGCCCCGTCTTTCTCCCATGGGTGGCTGTTGGTTTCAAACTGCCAACCTTATGCCTAGCATCTTGGGGCGTAGCCAGTAGGCCACCTGGAAATTGGCCTCCCAAAGGTCACACATCAAAGAACCGACTGCATACATGGCCCCACCAGGGATTGGGTCCACAGCAGCTATTTATTTTGCAGTGTTGGGGGTTGGCTTAGTGTGTGCCTGGGGGTCACGTACTTAATAACTTGCTAAACCGGAAGATTTAGGTTTACCAAGAATCACTTCAAAAAGAGTGGTGTTGGCAGCGTGGGATGCCTAGCAGGTCAGCAGTTCAAAACCCCCAGCTGCTCCGCGGGAGAAAGAGGAGGCTTTCTCCTCCACTAAGGAGTCTCAGAAACCCACCGGGGCAGCTCTGCCCTGCCCGTTAGGGTCGTTCTGAGTCGGCATGGACTCTGCAGCCATGTGTTTGGGTTTGGAGTTTGACAGGCTCCTCAGAAGGAAGGCCTGATGGCCTATGTTGGGAGAACCAGCTCCGGAAAGCCCAGGGGCGTCCTGGGATGCAGAGCCCACCCGCAGCCCCGATTCTGTTTGGCGCTGATTTTGGCTGTCGTGTCAGAGTTGCCCCGGGGAAGGGTTGGAGATAGCCTGCACGGACCTCACGTGCCAGTGGAGCGCCCGAGCATCGTGAGAATTCGTCTGTGTGATGGGAACAATGTAGATGCAGCCCTCAGGACTGGCCTGGGGGTATAGCCGCCCCCCCTTATGGGGATGAGGCCCAGAGCCTGCAATTCCAGCAGCATTTCCTGCCCGTCTGAAATGCCCATCACTGGGGTGGCCCAGGTTTCAGTGTGGCCTCTGATGCCACTGGGTGGATTCTTGTCGCTGCCTCCGTGCACCTGTGCTGCTTGTCTCTCTCTCACACCTGGACACTGGTGCCACGACCTTCACTCAGGTGATGTTGACCATGCCCCTGTCTCAGTGGACTTGGCTCCTCCCCTGTCTTGTGAAATGCAGTCTGGCACTCTGAGACGCCGCTCACCTGCCAGGAGAACTGAGGCCAAGGGCCAGCAGTCAGGAGACGGGAGTGAGGATGAGGGTGGGGCTGGGAAGGGAAGGAGACAGGAAGAGGGACAGGGGATGAGATCTGACCTCGGCCACAGGTCTTGCCCAGTGAGGACATGCTGGGATCTGTGGTCTGCCATTTCTTGGGCATCTGCAGCAGCCCTGATGGCTGTGCACAGCAGAGGTGCCAGCTCTGGTCAGGACTTGCCATGGTCGCATTGAGGGGCAGTGGACGACTGAGGATGGCCCCAGGTCACTTGAGCCCCACACATCAGTCTACCTCCACCCTGTCCTTGTCTGCTGATGCTGATTCCCCTTTCCCCCATCCCTCCTCATTGGCTCTTCCTGTCACCCCACTACCACCCCGCCTCTCTGAGGTCTCTCTCTCTCTCTGTGTCCCACTTTGTTGTCTATCTTCATGTCCTTTTTCCACACACCCCTCCCTCACCTGGCCCAGTGTTCACAGTCAGGCTCTGGGCTGTTCTCAGAGGTCCCTACACATCTCACATCAGCATCTTCCTGTGAGGTCATCATCCTGCCCAAGGCCTCCGCTCATTCCCCACACTCATCTGCCAGCACCCTGTCTCCTGCCTGCAAGTGGCCAGTGATCTGGACCTCAAGCTGCTCCCCACTGCCCAGCCTGGGAGCCCTGGATGCCTAGACCAGATGCAGTGCCCCGGGGCCCCACAGCCTGTTCACTGGGGGCTGGCCTCCAGGGATATCGGCAGGGCTGGTGGGTGACAGCTTAGCAGCAGCCCCTCCCACTAAGTCACTGTTGCCATCATGACAAGAACAGCCTCCCTGTGCCCAGCCAGGTGCTCGGGGACTTCTGTGTGTTTTCCTGTGTCCTTCTCAGGACAGAGCAGAGATGGGAGCATCATCCCATCTCCTAGAGAAGGAAGCAGTCACTCAGAACCCATGGAGAAGCTGATTCACATGGAAATGAGGGTCCAGCCAGGTTCCAAACCAGGTCTGATGGCTCCAGAGGCCACCTCTTCCTTTGATTCAACTTCTGCCTTAAACTTATTTTGTCCCCAGGAGAGTCCAGGTGGGGTCAGAAGAGGAAGGGGGAGGATCAGAGTAGGGCTCCCTCCCCTTTGCAGGGCTCCCTCTCCTGAGCAGCCCTCTGACCCACGCAGTCACTGAGTGATGCCTGGGGTTACAACCTACAAGACACCCTACCTCTCCCCACTGCTCCACAGCCTAGACTCCACACTGCTGAGCCCGGCTCCCTGCTGGGCAAGGTGTCCTGGGCCAGGCCACACACAAACCCTGAGCTCCTGCCCCAGCAAATCTCTTCCTCCCCCCTCACGCATCACCCCCCCTGACTGCCCCAAACACATACATACACACAGGCTGTGTCCTCTCCGGAAAAGCCAGGCCTCTGCCCTGGTCAATGCAGATGTGAACTGGGACGTGGCTCTCCACAGAGGATCAGCTTCCACTCAGGCTGGGCCCACACCCACTCTGTCAGCACGTTACCCCTGTGTGACTCCATGTACCTGTCTGTCTGGCATATAGGCTCATGGTGAGGATGCGTGAGATAGTCCAGAGAAGGAGCTGAGCACACGGGAGGGCAGGGCTTGCTCAGAGTGAGCTTTTTAGTGACTAACATTGGAGCACACAGGTTCGCAGGATGAGTAACGAACGGCCCTGTGTCCCCTGCAGGAGTGACAACAAGCCAGGAGGAGCTGCAGGTGATCCAACCTGAGACAGTGTCGGTCGCAGCTGGAGAGACGGTCACTCTGTCCTGCCAGCTCTCCTCTCTGCATCCTGTGGGGTCCATCAAGTGGTTCAGGGGGACTCTCCCAAATCGCCAGCTAATCTATGATTTCAAAGGAACCCAAGACAAAGGACACCTCTTCCTCCGAGTAAGAAACGCTTCAGACCCCACCAAGAGAGACAACTTGGACTTTTCCATCCGCATCAGTAACATCACCCCAGCCGACGCCGGCACCTACTACTGTGTGAAGTTCAGCAAAGGAAGCCCTGATGACAAGGAGCACAAGTCTGGTCCTGGGACTCGGGTGACAGTGAGTGGTGAGTACAGGGTGACCTGCCCCGTGTGACAGCTGCTCAGGACTGAGCCTCTGAGTTTGAGCAACAGCCCTCAGGGGTGCTGGTCCACAGCGTTCATATTCGGGGGCCCCCCCCTCAGTCCTTCCACCGACCAGGGGCTGAGGCCATGGGGTCCTGCTGTTTGCTCCAGGCCCCCAGCTGGAAGCAGGAGGAGAAAAGTCTGCTCCGGAGCCTGGTCCTTTCCAGTCCGGTTCCCGCAGAGCAGGGCACTGACAGCCTGGGAGCTCCAGGCACAGCAAACCCACCTCCTGCCCCAGCTCCTCCCTGCACCGTGCTCCTGTCTCCGTTACTGGACAGACGTGTGCTGAGGCCCTACTGTGTGCAGCTCTGCTCTCAGTGTCAGAAACAGCGAGAACGTGGGGAAGCTCTCCCCTCACAGAGCTTCCCTTCTCTCCCCTCAAAGGAGCAGAAGGTGGGCGGAGGGCAGGGAGAGGATGGGTGTCTTTATTTCACAGTCAAACACTTCTCAGGGAGGGAGAACCTGAGAGGCAGAGACCCACTGCTTGATGTTGAGCCTGGTTCGTGGTGGGGCCCAGAGGGCATCCATGGCCATGGGCTCTGATGGGAACCCCCTGGGATATAGGCGGACACCCCCAGTGAGCACAGAGATCCCATCAGTTCGGATGTCCCTCCACACAGAAATAAGCTCCCACCAGGGGACTCAGGAGTTACCCAGTTGAGGCAGCAAAGAAGACTCTCTTGGGGTGTTTTGCCAGAGACCCAGGATCCTCTTCCCAAAGCTTGGGTCTTGGAGTGAGGGCCCTAAAGGACCTCTAGATACGGCCTCTCCCAGCCCTGCCCAGAGACGGTTCCTGGTTCACAGACTGCTCTGTCCAGGGCTGCGCCGGGCGTGCAGTAATGCTGGATAAAAGTTTGTTGAATACAATCTCTGAGCAGGAATCATCGCTGCCTCTTTCCATCAATTCCCAAAGGCTGAGAAGGCCCCTCCCCCTGAGACCCCAGGTCTCTGGTGACTGGAAATCACTGTCAAACAACAGCCAGACCACTGTGTGCCCACCTTTTCTGTGTGGACGGCACGGGTGCTCTGTTCACAGTGACTGCGGGGCGCCGATGGCGTGGAAAGGGGCTCACTTTTCAGGCTTCTGTTGACAGGAATCTAAGCTGTCCCTAATCTTCAGGAAGTTCATGCAGCGCTGCTGGGGTGACCAGCGTGCCCCTTCCTACTCATGGGGCATCACTAAGGAAGAGAGGGAGGGCAGTTTAGCTGAGGTGAGGGCCAAACTCCGCTCAGACACTGCGACAAAGTGGAATCCCACAGCCCCACCCAGATGTGGGCGGGGTGGGAGAAAGGGAGCTGGGTTCTGATCCCACAGACGTTGCGGGCCCAGGGCTGAGGTCCCACAGGGCGGCCTTTCTCAGTGGGAGCCGGCACTGCAGCCTGTGTCTCAGCCTGACCCACCGCGGCTCTCTCCGCGTGGACGTCCTCCCTCTGCCTGCTGTCCTCCAGTCACGGCCTGGGGGAGGGGTAACGAGAGGACTCTCCCAGGTCCCCTGATGGCTTCACCTCTTAACCAGCTCTGAGAGGGAGGGGACCTGAGGCTCTGAGAGGGACCTGTCTGTGGGCAGCCAGGGGGCTCAGATGTGAACCCCAGTAGCTTGATTACCCAGCCCCTGCTCTCTGCAGCACCCCCTGTGCTGGTCGGGGTGTGGGGGATGCTCCATCCATCCCTGTTCCAAATGCTCGGGTCCTCTGTTTTGCAGCAAAAAAAAACAAAAACCAAACTCACTGCCATCGGGTGGATTCCAGCTCATAGTGACCCTCGAGGACAGGGTGGAACCGCCCCCATGGGTTTCTCTACAGGAGTAGAAAGCCGCATTGATCTCGCTCAGAGCAGCTTCTGGTTTCAAACTTCAGACCTTAGGTTTAGCAGCCCAACTTGTAACCACTACCCCACCAGGGCTCCTCCAGCAGCAATCAGCATTAAAAACTAAAAGTGACTGTCCCCAATGGGTGGAGGGTCTCCTTTATAACCTAGACCACACAGACACTACCACCAGCTCAGGGTGTGAGCCCCACCACCCTGCAAGAGGCTTCTCAGCAGCCTTGTAACCCCTGCGGCATCTTCCCCCCACTGTCCAGACCCAGCTCCCCCCTGTGCAACCGGGGAGCCAGCCAGTGCAGGACAGCAGTGATGGGACAGAGAGGGGTTTATATTCCGGTCCCACTTGGTCAGAAGCCCAGCCTCACGCATGTATCACTGCAGAGTAACCACCTGGGCACAGACCATGATGAGGGGCATGGCCAGCTGTAATGGCTGAAGCCAAGAGTGGCACAGGGTCAGTGTCAGGGTCCTGAAGGTGGCCATTCCCATGTGGTGGCCTGTGAAGACGGAGGCCCACAGGAAATTCCCACAGGGACACAGTCACTGTATCTTGGGAGCTCGTTGTTTAAATCTGCAGAGGGTGGCATCCATGGACCCCTTCTGGGAGAGCTGAAGAGAGGCGAGGCCCTTTGTGTAACGCACGCAGCACAGGCGGGCAGCAGACGGCCCAGGTGGAATTTCAGGTGTGCGACTTGGAAGCCTGGCTCCTCCTGTGTGCACTGGGCATAACCACGTCCCTGCACAGCATGAGGGATGAGCTGAGATTCGTGCTGGAACAGAACAACAACAAAACTATTGATGTTGCTCATTCTATTCATGGACACCCACTATGACAGAGGGGAGCTGCCCAGGGGTTTCCAAGGCTGCCATGTTTATAGAAACAGACCACTACGCCTTTCTCCCAGAGCAGCTGGTGGCTTTGACCCTGACTTCCTGGGTTCCAACCCCAGCTCTGCATATTCGTGGCTGTGACCTCAGACTAGTTATCACTCTGGGACTCTGTGTCCCCATCTGTCAAGGCCAGTTCCTCCCTGGGCTGCCAACCACAAGATCAGCAGTTCAAAACCACCAGCTGCTCTGTGGGAGAAAGACCACCCTTTCCCCTCTCATCTAAAGTTGGTCTCGGAAACCCTCAGTTCCCATTTCAGTTCTACCCTGCCCTATCGGGTCGCTGTGAGTCGGAATCAACTCGCTGCAGTGAGTTTGGGTTTCGAGACAGGATGCAAGGATTGGAAGATGAGATTGTCTGCTCGTGTAAGAGTCTCCCATCTCCGAATCCTATGAGCAGTTGCTTTGAGGTGGAATTTACTGGTGTGGCTGTGGGTTTGATAGCTACTTTTCTCTTTCAATGTTATGTCAGTCATGTGACCGGGCCAGGTCACATTTCCCCTGGAGGCCTCACATGTAAATGGGGGGTTTGGAGGTGAGGGGTCACCAGCTTAGTGGTTTCCATCCGGGCTGCTCACTAAACTCACCTGGGGCTCTTGAGCACAGCCCGAGACCCAGGCCCCACCCCTAGCACCCCTGAAGTCATACATCTGGCCTGGGCTGCTGTCAATCAGCCAGATGACTGAAATGCACAGCCAGGGCCGAGAGCCCCAGGCCACCGGTCTTCTGGGGACACAGAAGGAAAGTTGTGTTTTTTCCTGACAGGACGGTCCTTCCCCGGGGATCCGGGGCATCAGCCAGCTTTGCGGGTGGGTGCCTCTGGAGAGAGCACTCGTCAGTGACAGCTCATTGGAGCCTTTCGTCTCTGGGGTGAGGCGCGGGCACCCCACCCATGATTGTACCTCATGTGCCGAGAAGGGACTCCCACTGCTATGGCCACCGCAAAGGGACCCCCAGAGAAAGCCCCGCTCAGGTCCGAGACTCCGGAATTTCAACTAATCAGTCCAGCCACAGAACCTCGGCCTCTCAGGGCACCCCAGTGGCACAGAGGAAACCTCCCCTCCTCTCAGGCCGCTCCCAGCTCTGTGCAGAGCGGGGCTGGAGGACGACAGTGCCCGTATACCCCTCCACCAACTCGCTTCCCAAGGGGATTACTTTTAAAAGGGAGAATTGTAATGTGGGGGTTTCTACTGATTTTGCCGTGTGTGTATGTGTGTGTGTGCCTGTCTGTCTGTCTGTCGGTGGAAGCTGCAGAGGGTCCGTGTGGGGACTCTCTTTGGTGTTGCTTCTGTGCTTGTTTGCTTGTCCATCTCCCTGCCTAGAGCTGGGGTGGGGAGCCCTTTTTCTGCCAAGGGTCATTGGATATTTATAACCTCATTCTCCGGCCATGCTGGTCAAACGTTTAATTAATGTGATATCCTGGGGCGTAGCGGTTACATGTGAGGCTGCCAATGGCAAGGCCAGCAGTTCAAACCCACAGGAGATGCCTGCGGCTGTCTACTCCCATAAGGAGTGGCAGTCTTGGAAACCCACAGGTGGAGTTCCACCCTGCCCCGTCGGGTCCCCTGAGAGTTGCGGTGGATTGGTTGGCAGTGAGGTTGGTGGTTTTTGTTTTGTGTTTTCCATGTGATGGCCGACCTGCGTCTCTTTGGTAAGGCCTGTGACGTTCACTGGTATTGGTGCTTTGTCAGGACTTACACAGCCCTCGAGCCTGATCGTCTTCATCCCTGGCCTAGAGGTTAACAGATAATTTAAGGATGCGCAGGGGCCAGATAGTAAGACGCTCTCATTAATGAGTATTATTTATCAAGCACCTACTGTACGCCACCTCTAATCTCTCCAGGTTGCAGGTTGCTTTCACGTTGTACAGAAAAGGAGGGGAAGCACAGAGATGCTAAAATTCACTAGGCCAGGTGTGGGGTGAGCGCCACCACTGCCCACTGTGTGTACGTGTCCAGCACGTGCCTCTCTGAGCCCCAACCAGTAAATGAGACCCCTGTGGGCTCCTGTGCAGGGTTGGTGGGAGGATGGACGAGCGGAGGGGCTGGAGGGGTCAGCCCAGTGTCGGGTCCTAGAGCTCTCCATAGATGGTCACTGGCCATGCCATACTGTGCTCTTCGGGGACACCCTGGTAGCTGGGGTTCTCGTGACTTGATTCAAGTGACACCATCTGTACTGTGCCCTAAAATGTTCCATGCATGTTAGGGGCTGGGTTATATGTTCACAACTACAAGCATTGGTAACATTTGCTGGCCCAGAAAGGTGGCTCTCCTGTAAGACCCTCCCACAGGGAGGGACCGGATTCTGACCCTCGGGTTCCTGGATGTGGCCTGCCACTGGGAGGGCTTCTGGGCTTCGTCTCCATTATGTGTGTGTCTCGTGATCAATGGTTAAGAAATTGTCCTCGTGATAAAATTGGTGGTGATTTCTCACCACTCAGGGATCGCTGTTTTCCTCCCCAAACTGGCCCCCCAAAGACCCTAGGTCCAAAGAAACATTCCCTGCTTCCCATTTCTGGGCTTCACACAGGTTAAGCCCTGCTGGAGGACCGAATGAATGGAGGGCGAGAAATAATAAATGCCATCAGAGAGGGAAGCTCGGTGTCAGTGAGGTTGGAGTTAAGACTGTCTCTGCCCATTTGTTTCTAGTTAGCGTCTGTGTTAGTCTGGGTAGACTAGAGAAACAAATTCATAGACATGCTTCTGTATAGAAGAAAGAGCCTTATATACAAGAGCGATTGAATATTGAGAAACAGCCCAGCCCAGTCCAGATCAAGTCCATCAGTCTGATATTAGCCCATATGTCTGATAACAAGCTATAAATTCCTCTTCAGACTCACGAAGCACATGCAATGATGCCAAATGCAGGACGATCACAGGCTAGTGGGTGGAAAGTCTTGTGGATCCAGTAGCAGTGGAAGCATCTCAGTGCTGGCAGGGGTTTCCATGTGGGTCCTTCAGCTCCAGAACTCTACTGTAGCCCCATGTGTCTTGTCTGCAGAAATGTCTCACAGGGAGTTAGCCTGTGTCCCACCTCCCTAGCGCCTCCAAATGAGGTCATCAAACTGCGACCTGATTGACAGGCTAAACTCCACCCCTTCACTCTTAAGTCTCAAATTGACAATAGATGATGTAACGGCCACAGTGTCTTCTGTGCTTTGTCCACAGCAGAAGTGCTGGTCCTGCCTCGCCCCATCCTCGGCAGCCCCGGGAGGGGAGTCCCCATGGTCCCTCTTTACAGATGGGCTGCTCAGCTGGATCTTACTCTCACGCGGGTCTTGCTCTGCCACTGCTTCCCTGCACTTGCTGCTTTAAACGCTTTCTCTGAACTTGCAAGATTGGGGAGACCAGCTAGGAAGAGTTAGCACTGTCAGTAGTGACTTTATTCCGGAGCAGGAACTGGTGGGAGAAACATTGGAAGCAGAGGAAGGAGAGTGGACATTGGACTCCGGCCTGGAATCCCTTGTCAGCCCCCTGCTCGCCATCTGTCCCGGTCTGGTCCCTTCACCTCTTAGAGCCTCGTTCCCTGTTCCGTGAGATGAGGACAGTGATCGACGCCTCCCTCCTCATTTTATCACCAAGATTAGAGAGTGATTTGTGGGAAGAGTCTGAGCAATCCCACACACGTACCTTTCCTGGTGACCGTGCAATGATGTTTACAGCTGACACTCGCTCCTTCTTGTAGCCCAGCCCTCTGCCCCCCTGGTATTGGGCCCCTCGGCGAGGACCACACCTGGGCAGACAGTGAGCTTCACCTGCGAGTCGCACGGCTTCTCCCCCAGAGATGTCTCCCTGAAGTGGTTCAAAAATGGGAAAGAGCTCCCAGCCCTGCAGACCGAGGTGGTCCCGCTGGGCGACAGCGTCTCCTACAACATCTCCAGCAGGACCCAGGTGACGCTGACCACAGAGGATGTGCACTCTCAGGTCATCTGTGAGGTGGCCCACACTACCTTGCAGGGCTCTCTTCGTGGGACGGCCAACGTGTCTGAGACCATCCGAGGTAGATGACACACACCCCGCCCGCACCCTCACCTGCCCCCAAGCCTGCTCCCCAGGATTGCTCCAGGGCATGTTCTGCCTGGAATCCAAATCCTAATGGTCCCCACAATTGTGATAAACCTGCCAGGTGTCTGTCCACTGCCCGGCACTCTCACTAATTGTTCCGTTCATGACAGCTTCCAGTGGACTATCTTCCATGTGCCCAGCACAGTGCTGGGCAGTTCCATTTGTTTACCAACAGCAGCAGCATTTGTTGACTACCAAGCACGTGCTAAGCCCCTACAGGCTTTGTGCCTTTATGTATTCTGTTCCACTTATTGCATTCTGACTGCATGCAAGGTATTGTGCTTGCGAATTTCACTGATTATTGCCCTAATAGGAACTGTCAGTGCTTGGCCCCCTACTGTGTGCCACGCACTGTGCACAGGGATTCCGTGGGTGATGCACACAGGTTGTATAGTGTTTGAGCACCAGCTGCATGCCTGGCACTGTCCTCAGGGCTCTCCTTGCCAGGATGGTGGGAGATCACCAGTCCAGAGCCCCTGTCTGTGACCTGTCTGTTCCACAAGGTCAGAGCTTCTGCTCTGTGCTGTTTCAGTTGCACCCACTTTGGAGGCCTCCCAGCACCCCGTCCAAGAGAACCAGGTGAACGTCACCTGCCAGGTGAAGAAGTTCTACCCCAAGAACATAGACCTGACCTGGTTGGAGAACGGAAATGTGTCTCGAACCGAATCGGCCTCGCTCCTCACGGAGGACAAGGATGGGACGTATACCCTGAAGAGCTGGATCCTGGTGAACTCCTCTGCCCTCAGGGAGGATGTGGTGCTCACCTGCCAGGTGGTGCACGACGGGCAGCCCGCAGTCACCAGAGAGCAGACCCTGAAGGCCCCTGTCCACACGAAGCCGGAGAGCACAGAGCAAAACCCCGGTGAGGCCCCCACCCTGCCCCACCCGGCTCTTTGGTCAAGCATGTCTAAGTCTACTGTGTTAATGCTGTCATGGTCACTCATGCTTGTTGTGGTTAAGGGCCATCGGGTCAGCTCAGACCTGTCGCTACCCCGTGCGACAGTCTGGGGGGGTTCAGGCTTTGCTCTTGATGGGGAGGGAGCTCCAGGTGTAGCTCTGACCTTTCAGTGAACAGCCATGGCTTTACCCGTGCACCTGCTGGTCTCTTCCATGCACGCTTCTGATAATCTCCCCCCACACCCAGCCCAACCCAACACACCTGCAGGGTTAAAATGCCCCGCAGGGTTGCCAAGGAAGCGGGCCACCACACGGTTCTCCTGAGCAGCAGCTGGGGGCTTGAACCTCTGACCTTCACGCGCTTTAATCACTGCACCACCAGTGTTCCTTCGAGAGTCACCTCCCCCTCTCATGCCGCCTAGTCCCTCCCGACTCAGAGCCGCCCCATAGGGCACAAACCACTGTGACTGTTGGAAGGAGTAGAAAGCCTCATCTTTCTCCCGAGGAGTGGCTGGTGGTTTCGAACTGCTGACCTTGTGGTTAGCAGCTCAACTCCTCACCACTATGCCAGCAGGCCCCTATGAGAGCAACCTGGAGGCTTGCAACTACAACACAGATTAAGGGGTTTCCCCGAAATCCCACTGTCCATGGGCTGCCAGCACTGTAAGAGTTTGGTCCATACTTTTGTGAAAGTTAACGTTAGAAGGAAGCAAAGGGGAAGCAAGAGGAGGGAGGGAGAGCGGGAGAGGACTCTTCCTGTCCATAGCACCCTGCCCCTGGAAGCTCACTGAATAATGACCACTTTCCCAGGCCCATGTCCCCCCATCTCTTACTCCCAGCCCAAGGCCTCTCTCTGTAACCTCTGCACGCCTGTCTCCAGGGCCCATCCAGACTTTCAACAGGAGGGGGGTTCATTCAGGGTGTTTGCCCGTTGGACCGCTAGTGCTGCAAAGAGTGCCCTTGTACCTAGATTTCTCACGTGGGACTCTTCTGTGGGTGGCTCCCCAAAGGGCATCGCTCGTTGGAGACACTCCTGTTGTAAGCTGGTGATAACGCTGCCGTGCTGTCCCCTGAAAGCGTTGTACTGGTGTCCTGCCCTGGGCGAGCACGCGAGAGGCCCTCATCATTGGTCAGCATGGTGGCACCTAGCTGGCACTCAGGGCCCAGTTGCGTGCTCCTGCTGCCCCCAACACGGCGGATGCCGGGATGTAGAAAAATCTTTGAAGGGCTGAGGTGTGAGGCCGTTTCTGTCCTTAGTGCACCCTCCAAGGGAAACCAGTTGTTTGGCCCCAACTCACGGCGACCCCCTCTGTGTTGGAGTTACCCTGGGGTTTTAGGGGCTGAGTTATTGGAATGTGTTTGTCAGGTCTTTCTTTCGAGGACCTCTGGTGGACCCAGGTCTCCGGGCTTTTGTCTAGCAACCCAGTGCGTGAAGCCTTGGAGCCTTGCCCAGGTGGCCGGCGATTTCGATGCAGGTTTTCATGGGATGAGCGTGGCTGTCCACTGGGGCTCCAGCAGAAGACTGCTGTGTGACCTTGGGCAAGTCAGTGCCCCTCTCTGGGCCTCCACTTATCTCCCAAGCGTGTTGGAGGGGATGAGTCCTTCAGCTCTGAGTCTGGGCTCTGAGGGCAGTGGCTGCCTGGTTCAGCACGGTCAGCTTCAGGGTCAGGCACAAGACAGACCCTCAATGAGCACTTGTCAGAAGAATGAAAGGGTTGGTGGGCCGGCTGGTTGGTGATGGCCCGCTAACAAGAGGATGTTGGGGTCCGGGAGACTTCCCAAAGTTACACAGCGAGTAAGAGTGCTGGGTGGGGGCTGCGTCTGGCTAACTACTGTGCACAAGTCTAGAATCCCTGCCCGGTGCCCTGGACCGGCCTGGGAGCCAAACCCTGTCTCTTTCATTCTTAGACACCCCCCCTCCTACAGAGCCAGCTCTGGGGGGGTCTGGTGGTTTTAGCATCAGTTTCCTGCTCCTCACTGGTCTCTCCCCCACTCCCCATAACCCTCCTCCTTCCTCACACTCAATGGGGCTTCGGCCTTTGGGATGCCCGTGCATGGCGGTGCCTGCAGCGTGGGTCACTCCAGATGCAAAGGGCCGGTTTCCGTTCCTCACTGTGGGGTTTCTGCCCATGTCCTGCCGCCGGGACACCCCCGCCATCCTCCCGGGATGTGGACTGTCATTCTGCACAGCTCAGGAGGGACCCACCAGCGGGGATGTGCGTGCAGGGGCCCTGGGCAGCTGGGAACATCTGGGAACGGCCAACCAGATGCTCTGGGCCCAGGAAGCCTGTTTGGTGATGAGGGGAAGGGGAGAGGGTGGGGGGAGCGGCTTTCACCGTGTGTCTGTGCTCCGTTGAACATGAAGGCTCTATTCCGTGTGACCCCCAGACGGCCAGAATAAGGGCATCTTCATTGCTGTGGGCGTGGTGTGTGCCTTGCTGGTGGCCCTGGTGATGGCAGCCCTCTACCTCCTCCGCATCCGGCAGAAGAAAGGTGAGTGAACTCCTCAAAGCTCCCACCCCAAGCATCCCCCACCCCCCTGAGTATTGCCCTGGACCGGGCCTCCAGGGGGAGGGGCCACTAGAGCGCTCAGGGCAGGAGCACGTCCAGTTAGTCTGAGAAATCATCCAGAGGCAGCCGGGAGGGGCCTGGGCAGCAGCTTCACCAGGTTGGACCTGGGTTGCCACTCCCGGGGCTTTCCTCTCGTGGTTGCAAATTGGTCTTGGGTCCTCAGTGGACCACCGGCCGAGGGAGGGGCCAGGGGATCCCAAGCCCTCTTCTCTCCTGTCTCAGGGAAGGAGGAGTTAGGGTTTCCCAGGCACCCCCGGGCCGCCTTCCCAGACTCGGGGTGGGCGTGGGGGGACGAAATGGCTAACTAGGAGCCCAGTGGCAGGTCTGTTGCCAGCATTAGCTCCCAGTGGGGCTCAGAAGCTCTGACATAGCCGTCTACGCCGCAGTGAGCAGCCGTGTAGCTGTACGGCAGGGTAAGGCTTCCTGTCTTGTTTTTGTGTCTGTGGCGGTGGGGAGTGGGCCTTGGGGGGACACTGTTGCTATGGAAAGGCTTGACTTCGGGGTCACGTCCGCCCGGAGTGCCAGGCTTTTGTAACCAGCTCCGAACCATCAGTCAGGGCTCCCTGGGTTTCAGTTTGCTCATCTGTAACATGGGTACAGCCATGCCGACCTCGGAGGGTGGTTACGAGACCCAAATACACGCCTGTTAGGAGCCGGTCGGATGCCTCCTGGGACTTGAGTACATGCGTGGTTTCTCTCTTGTCTGCAGGACGACCGTTCTAAATATTCCTGAAACAGGTTTGACAGGGAGAGAGAGACATTTCCCATCGCACCAGAATTAGCCATAAAACCGAACATCAGTTTCTGTCCGAGTCTCCAGTGAGCGCCCCAGCGTGCAGTGAAGCCTGGCCTGAGCTAACCCTCTGCCCCGGGCCAGGCAGGCTGCCACATCAGCCCTGTACCCCTCCAGCTCTCCCCTGAAGTTCAAGAGCCCCATCCAGGAGGACTCCTCCTCAAGGGCCCCCCCACAGGAGGGGTGGCGAGGCAGGGCCCCTGGCTCCCAGGGTGACCGACCAGCCCACCTGATGGAGCCTTCCCCGCAGCCCCTGACTGAAGCCCCCTGACACAGTGCCCTGGCTCGTTGGGCATGAAGTTGGGAGAGAGGCAGCTACTGCCTGGGTGGCAGGCATTTGTCCACAGAGCCCGGCTCCAGTGGCCTAATGATTGGCCTTCCTGGGCCCAGAGTCCACCACTGACCTCTAAGGTGGCATGACTCGCCCCAGCTTACAGGGGAAGAGCCAGGCAGGGGAGTATTCTGAAACTTCCCAGACGTCACAGCTGGGATGTGGTGGAACCAGTATTCCAGGCCACGCAGGGGGTTGGCCAGGGACCACACGTGTTACCTCTCTGACTACCACCTGCCCCCTGTGGAGGCACCCTTTTCCCCTGTGGGGCTCCGGAAGGGCCCGCCCCTCATCTTCCACACAGTAATGCCCGTGGAATGCCCTGATGTCAGCTCGCCACTTAGCAACTGTGTGCTCTTGTCCTCTGTGTAAAACTGGGGTGACTAGAGTTCCAATGGGTCACCAGAGTCCCATGTGTTCCAATGCTTTGTGACCCATGGCCTCCAGGTAGAGGGTAGATGCTGAGCCAGAACCCCCCCACACACACCTGGAACACACCCCCTTGGTTCCCACAGCCGCCCGGGCACAGGGGCTAAGCTGGCATCAAGAAGCCCCATGAGGGGGCAGCCTACCGCCTGCTGGTGCTTGGAGCCGGGTACCTCGCAGTGTGCGTTTTAATTACAGTTTGACAGTGAATGGGTATCACCTGGCTGCTGAACCCCAGAGGCTGGCTTCTCAGGGGTGCCCCATGTCACAGGTTTAAAACCTCTGAACCACACGGGGCTTTTTCTTCCCTCCAAAGAGGGAGACAGTGGTACATCCTTACAGTAGATGCCAGCCCAACACCACGAGTCTGAGAGGAGAAATTTGTGCACCCGGGTCACACGATGTGTGTGAGGGCGAGGTGGAGCTAGGGTTCGAGCCTCGGGCCGCGTGAGACCCAGCCCACCATGCGGGTCTCCCACTGGGGCCTGGGCTTGCTCCTGTAACTGCCTGATTCATGGCGACCTCCACCCGACAGGGTCAGACCGCCACACACCATGGGGTCACGTGGGTGGATTTTTCAGAAGTAGAAAGGCCAGGCCTTTCTTCCTAGTCTGTCTTGTCTTCACCAGGGCTAGCTGTCGGGCTGCCTTTAAAGTGTGGGGTTGGCTGAGGAGGGAGGCCCGCACCCAGGCCGGGTACCTGGCTCCTCGCAGGCTGGAGGCGGCTTTGGGATCTGACCCATGGCGGCTCCCAGCGGAGTATAAGCAGCTGTGGCCTCCTGGCTGGGTCGATGGACCGCCCAGTGAGGGTCTCATCTGACCATTCCTCCCACCCAGCCCTGAAGACAGACCCTTTGGTTGGGGGTGGGGGGAACACATCCCTGAGTAGAAAAGTGAGCGTGCAAGTGAAACCACAATTTTGTTTTTTTCTCTTCCAGCCAAGGGCTCCACATCCTCAACCAGGTGAGTGCATCCCGACCCCGGGCGATTTCCGGTTACAGCCCGCTCTGCCATGTCCGCAACCTGCCCTCGCTTCTGTCTGCGGTGTGCACGGGTTCCCGTGCCTTGCCTTTGGCACCGCCTCAAGCCTGGGCTGGCTTCCTTGCAGCTACTCAGGACCCAGGCATGACATCAGCCGCTGATTTACGCTGGTGGTCCTTATCCGCTGAGTCCCCCCTGGGTGCCAGCTCCGCCTGGGTGCTGGGGACTCGGCAGGGGACAGACAGCCTCCCAGGCCTGCAGGGGGATGGAGGGGAGTGGGCTGACTGAGGCACTAGTGAGGGAGGAAGGCAGACAGGGACGAGGGAGCCAAGTGCTACGGAACGCCCTGCCCGTGTCCTGAAAGGAAGGCTCAGACGCAGCAAGGGGGTGAGAGTAATGGGCCAGGGCCTTGGGGGAAGGAGGCGCCTCTGAAGAGGTGATGGGGACAGGGACCTGAAGCTGAGGGGCTACGATGGGGAGGGGCACACTGGGTGGGAGATCAGCCCCTGCGAAGGCCTTGGGGGTGGGTGGGGGTAGGTGGACATAAGGGGCAGGGGCATGGGACGCACCGTCTCTATCTGAAGCCCTTGTGGCCAGACATGCTACTAATTTAGACTTTCCTCCCTTTCGGGAAGGTCTCGGGTCACCCCCAGCAAGAAAGGGGCCACTCCCATAGGCTCCCACGGAGGTGTGTTTACACAGAATATGCGATCATCCGTATGCAGGGGAAATAAGAGCTAAATGGGCAGCATGCGTTCAGCTAGGCTTTGCCATTGCATGGGTTTAGGGACTCTCAATAATCTAAGGAGCACTGGACATGTGGTGGGTTCAGCATTGGATGACTAACCTCAGGGTCGGCCGTTCAAACCCATCAGTTACTCCAAGGGAAAAAGACGAGGCCGTCAGTGCCCGTAAAGATCACAGTGCTTGGAAACCCTAACAAGCAGCTCCGCTGTGTCCTCCCACATCCCGGCGAGTCCAGCTTGACTCGGTGGCAGCAGGTTGTGGTGTCCCGAGGGCAGAGGGCATTCCTGTCCCATCAGTGTGCTCATAGGACCACTCCCCTGTCCCCATAGTCCATCCCCACCCTCCTGAGGGCAGGGCCCACCCTTTGGCACCTCCTCAAGCCTGGGCTGGTTTCCCTGCAAGCTGTGCTTTCCGGAACCTCACAGCTAACCTGAGGGCCCTGCCCACCCCCTCATAGTCACTGCTACACCTGGCCCTGGCCCCTAGACCGGGATACCAAAAAACACACCAACCACTGTCCTGAGTCAATTCCCACTTCCAGGTTTCCACGGCCATAAGTCCTCACGGGAGCAGTCAGTTCTCTGAGGAGCGAGTGGCTGGTGTGTTTGAACCGCCACCTTAGTGGTTAGCAGCCCAATGCCTCCCCCACAGTACAATGGAGGGCTCCTCTAAAATGGGAAAGTGCTCCGCAAGTGCTGGGTGAACGAATGGCACTGCTCCCCGACCACTGCAGCTCGCCCATCTCCATTCTCTGCTGGCTCCGTGGCCCCAAACAGAGAGGAATCACTCCCTGGTTTTATTTTTGTTATTTATCGTCCAGGCTGATGTTTTTACAAGTCTTATCTCTCCCGTTGGGCAGTGGATTTCTGAAAGAAAGGGGTAGCGTCAATAGCAATCATAGATGCAGCCAACGTTTATTGAGCCTTTATGGCATCCGGTCCCTGGTCTGCGCCCTTCCATACATTAATCCATCAATGGTCCAATTACCCTATGAAGCCCTGTGCTGACTGACCATCCTTCCTTTGTAGAGCTGCTGCGTTTGTCACACCTGAGTGTGATTCTAAACTGCAAACTTAGTTTGATTCTAAACTGCATTTCCAGCGAGTCCTCTGGTGGTACGGATGCTGCTGGCCCCGGGCCCACTCTTGGAGAACCCTTGTTCTGGAAGCTCAACGCCTAGGGACCTCTGAGGCTATAAATCTTTTCCAAGAGCAGCCAGCCTCACCTTTTGCCCTGTGAAGCAGCCGATGGGTTCGAACTGCTGACCTTGCAATTAGCAAATGGGATCATCTTTAGCCAAACTCAACTCGAGAGCAGCAAGTTTAGCTTGGTTCTGGAAGCTTCTTGTTGGCTGCCTTCAAGTCGATTCCAACACCTGGCCGCCCCCACGTAGGTAGAGTAGATCCGCTGCGTAGGTAGAGTAGATCCACTGCGTAGGTAGAGTAGATCCACTGCGTAGTATTTAAGGCTGTGACTTCTCAGAAGCAGATCACCGCACCTGTGTTCTGAGGCACCACGAGGTCGGCTCAAACCTCGGACCTTTCGGCTTGTAAGGAAGCCAGCATTTCATCATTGTGCCGCTCTGGGATGCACCAGAGCGTATTAATTTCCCCATTATATGGTGGAGGAAACAGGCCCAGGGAAGTCCTGCCATAAAGAAGTGGTAGGAAGTCCATGTGCTAAAACTCAACTCTGTCCTCCTGACACGGGAGCGGGCGCTTTCCTCCCTGCTCGTAGCTTCCTGCGGCCCATGTCATCTTCCCCAGAGAAGCCAGCCGTTTTCAGCCTGTTTTTCATTTTTGCAACACGAGCCTGCCGAGGGAGTCACGAGAGGCACGCGCTCTTTCATCTCGCTAAACCAAAGTGGCCGCTAGTGAGCGGGCATGGTGGCTTCCCTCACAGAGACCGGCCTCAGCGTCCGCATGTTGAGATCAGACGCTTTCCAGAGGACGCTGGCTGCCCATTGGTAGCCTCCGTGCCCATCTGGGCCTGGGGGTGGGAAGCAGGGAGATGCTGCCCCGCCACAGCAGCTCAAAGCTCAAAGGGCCCTTCTGGGGGCCCAGAGGGCTTGGCGCTCCCACTCCCTCCCAGGGCTAGGAATGAACGTAGAGGCAGAACACTGTCTGTAATCTTCTCCGGCTCAGACAAGAGAGAGAAAAATGTGTCTCTGCCTCCTTAATTGGGCACTAGGGCTCATTCAGCTACCCGTGCGCTCACTTGTCAGACATTCACCGCGCTGATTCCTGGCATATTTAGGGCTTCCCTGAACCTTTCATGTTTGTATCTGCGTTAGCGCAGCGCAGGGCCAGGCCTGGAGCTGGTGACTGCAAAGGGGAACAAAGAAGACATGTGCCCCGTGTCCTGGCCCCGGTGTCACAGTGGGGAACACCGTTCATGCATTCATTCATTCATTCATTCAGCAAGTATTTCCACCGGGCCAGCCTTGTGCTAGTCCCACCCAAGTTTCTGGGGCTTCAGTGCCAGGCTGACTTACCATTTCACCCTCTTGGGTAAGCATCTCATACTGGGCTGGGCTGGCTGGGAGGCCCCTCAGTTCTAAACCAGCTAACTTGTCTTCCTATTTCGTTTATGTAACATAATGGTCTGTCTATCCGCCTGCCTGCTGTGCTTCCTCACCAGATAGGCCAGGTGCACAAGAGGTGACTTGGAATGGCCGCCAGACAGACAATTCCAGGGCCTTTGCACACCTGGTCCTCCCTGCTTCTCCATCTACCTCGATCCCTCTCTCCCTCAGACACCTGTTCCAAGAGCCCTTGTTCTGCACACCTTCACTGACCACTCCAAGCCCCCTGACTCCACTCTCCAAACCCCATCCCTTGAACCCCATTCTCTGGGACCTGGAGCGCTCCTGCCCACATGGCCCTCACTCGAGGGTCACCCCATCTGCTGGGAGATTAAGGAATGAGGTCATGCGGGGGGGCTGAGGCAGGAAAGGGAAGCCGAGCGAGGGGCTGGACTGGTGGCGGGTCAGGAAAGGCTTGCCTTTCTGCAGAGATGACCTTTAAAGACCACTGCAGGAAGGACGAGCTGTCTCTAGGGCTGGAGTGGGCCAGCTGAGTGGAAAGCTGGGCCCTGGGCTCTGTTGAGGCAGCACTGAGAAGGTCAAGGCAGCCTGAGAAGAGGAGGGCGGGGAGACTCGTTGGGGCTGGGGGGTGTCATGCAGGGTTCGCAACAGGAGCCCCAGGGGTGGGTGATTTTGAGCAGAATGGTGACATGGCACCGTGTTGTCACGGGACCGTGGAGGGCAGAGGGGCAGACACGGGATCTGGCAGCCTGTTTGCAGAGAGGCCTCTGCAGGTCTCGGGACTGTCAGATGGGAGAGAAGACACAGAGGTCGGGGCGGGATCATTCCGTTGATGCTGAGCACGGGGACGAATGGTGGTGGAGCTGTCCCCAAGATGGGGAAGTAAGCAGGGAGGGACGGCCAGTGCTGGAAAATGAGTCCTTGACCTGAAATAGTGACAGAGAGGAGCCTGGGGGGCAGGGGGTCGGGGTGCAGTCAGTGCCCTTTCCAAACAAAGAGGAAGAGGCCGAGGGAGGTAGACAAGGAAGCAGGGAGGACTGAGTGTGTGAAGGCCCGGGACCACCTGTCAGACGGTCATTGCAAGTCACCTCTTTTCAAACCTGGCTATCTGGTGAGGAAGCTCAGCGGGCACACGGTCATTTGAACCAGATAGATAAATACACGGACAAGGAGAGGCCTCCCAGCCAGCCCAGGGCGTTCTCCCAAGTAGGCCACGCCACAGTAGTTGGGTCTTGAAGGATAAACAGGAATGAATTCACCCAGAGGAGGAAAACGGCCCAGGTCAGCCCAGGCGATGGTTGAAGCATGCAGTGCGTGTGCGAACCTCATTGCAGGGGTGGGGGCATGAATGAGCCTGCAGGGGTGAGGGGTGGGGGCCTTATGAGCAGGACTGGAAGTGGGTTTGAACCATGGACGTGTTTGCCGCTGGTGGGAGTTGGAGGTGCCTGATCCCCTGCCAGACATGCCCCCTCCAGGTCGACTGTCTCCCTGGACTCGTGGGTTTTCTGGCATGGCCCCAGAACTGGCTTCCCAGACAAGCATGCATGCCACCCCGACGGAAAACCTGCCCTGAGCCCCGGAGCTCAGCACTGACCTTATCCCAGCTCGTCTCGGGGGTTGCCAGAGCATACATTGGTAGAGCCTTGCTCACCACCTTGACCCCCCAAGTGAGCCATGCGTGAGCCACGCCCGGCCTCTGGGTCCAGCATCAGATCAGGACAGGCCGCTGGGCGAAACCAAGACGTCTCGGCTGATAGTCTGCCTTGTTCTTTTCCCCAATCCCTCTCATCCTGCGTCCGTGTCTCCAATAGCATTTGGGGGCCACGGGCAGCAAGACAGGGGGGAAGACCGGGGGGACCTGCTGGCATCTCCCCTGGGTTCCCTTCCAGGGTCCCCCACGCCCCTCTCACAGCTGAGCTCTTTCCATTGCGGGCTCTGCTTTTTTCCCTTATCATTTTAATGTAATCATTCGCCATAAGAAATGTCTCCTTAGAAACCTTGTAAAGCTGTCTCCGGGAGCTTCCCCTTGGGCCCGCCTCCCCCCTGTCCCCTCCTTTCCTAGACCAATCCCAGTCGGCAGAGCTGTGTGGGGGAAGCTTTTTCAGTGTCAGATGATAACGGGGAACACAAGCCCCGCCCCGAGGTAAAAGCGGAGGAGGCCCGCTGTCCCTGTTCGTGACCTGTGCGTGCCGCAAGCTCCTAACCAAAGTGCTGCATGGCTCGCCCCTCCCGCCTGCAGCGTGTGGAACAGCCAAGGCAGCCACAGCTTCCACGGCACCGTGGGCTCTTTTTTTCTTTTATGAGGTCCTTGCCACTAAAACGACAGTGCGTCGTCTAAAGCAGGCTCCCGCCCTCTTTTTTTTTTTTTTAATTTAAACTGAGCTTGTCCCCTTCTAGCGTCTGGTGAGCAGCTGTCTGTCGGTCCGGAGTGTGCCCCGTATAGGAAGTGGAACTTCTCTGTGGTGGCTCCCTGTTTGTAGGAGCACGTGGCGGCGGGGAGGGTATGTTGATCTGTGTCTCTCTTTCCCGTTTAGGTTGCATGAGCCTGAGAAGAATGCCAGAGAAGTAACCCAGGTACAGTCCTTGGTGAGACACCCTTCCGGGGGAACCGAGCTGGTGTGACTGCCGCAGATAACCTGTTCTAAATTAAGACGTGCTCCCTTGCCCGAGTGGAGGGAGCCTTACATTCCTCACCCCCTCCACCAGTCCTCCCCTGCTCCCCCTCTCTGCTCCAACCAGCCAAGGCATCAGCCCCGGGCTCCTAACTCGGAGGGAGGCCAGGGGGGGCTCCCTCACGCACACCTCCAGGGGGCACCAGTCACAATGGTTCCTATGGAAGGGGTGCCCTGGAGTCGGGCTACAGCCAGCCCCAGTGTGCACTGGGCCTTCCAGCCTCGGTCTGTGTGCCCAGGGGCCTCATCTCTGGCTCCCCTACCACGGCCACATCAGCCACCTCACCCCGAGTCAGCATGACAAAGCGCTGCCACAGTCCCATAAGCCTGTGTCAAGGGGACGACCCTTGTCGTTCATTACCCTAGGCAAGGGCACCCCTCCCTCCAGCCGAGGAGATTGCTCAAGACAGCAGCGGTGTGGCTGGCCTGTTTCCGAGAAGCAGGCCTGCTAATCACCAGCTGACTGTCAAAGCCTCAGGGGCAGAGGGCTCCTCGGCGGCTTGTCAGGAGACAGGCCCTGCTCTGAACCCAGGGAGGAGAGCACCAGCTGTCCTTGACACCTCCCGGGTGCTTGTCATCGGTCCGGGAGGGATCTGCGCGGGCGGGAGGCAGGCAGGCAGGCTGGTGAAAGGCTCACCCTGCGCCGGCCCAAGCACCCAGGCCTGCTCTGCCGACCCAGTGCCGCCTGCCCTGAGTCTTGGCCTCCCAGACATTGGGCTCCGGAGGAAAGGCACAGTGGTTTCCAGTGATGGAGACAAGAGTGGGGCTTTCTCCCCCAAGCACTCCGTATTTTACTTCCAGATCTCCTCCTGGAACTTTCCAGGGGCAGGGTGATGGGGAGAGTTGGTCACTGAAGCCTGGCTAAAGCTCCCCTTCAGCCAAGGTGTGCTTACTCAGCACCTACTACATGCCCGCCCCCATGGGGCCTGTAGTAAGGACGTCACACCCGGCTCTTGGGAGCTGTGGCCAAGGGTCTGATTCCCAAGGCTAGATGCCAGCCTTGCCCGGAATGGCTGTGCTGCTAAGGCATTTCTTGGTGAGAAGGGAGGGGAGTGTGGATGGTGGTCTGAGACAGAAGCTCTGGGGTAAGAGAACTTCAGAATCAAGAGGCTGGTTCTCTCCAGCTGCGTGACTTGTGCCAAGTTAGTTTACCTCCCTGGGCTTTGGCTTCTTCACCTGTGTAATGGGGTTGACAGTTCTACTCCCAGAAGAGCCACAGTCTCAGAGGACGCACAGGGGCACTTCTGCCCTGTCCTAGAGGGTCGTTTTGAGTGTGAATGGACTCGAGTGAGGTTTCTGAGCAGGGCTGTGCTGCCACCTGGATGTGGTGATAGGTGTGTGTGTGGTGGG